TCTTCGACGCGAAGCGCCTCATTGGGCGGAAGTTCAGCGACCCCGTTGTGCAGTCGGACATGAAGCACTGGCCCTTCAAGGTCATCACGAAGGGCGACGACAAGCCGGTGATCCAGGTGCAGTTCCGCGGCGAGACAAAGACGTTCAACCCGGAGGAGGTGAGCTCGATGGTGCTGTCAAAGATGAAGGAGATTGCGGAGTCGTACCTGGGCAAGCAGGTGAAGAAGGCCGTGGTGACTGTGCCCGCGTACTTCAACGACTCCCAGCGGCAGGCGACGAAGGATGCCGGCACGATCGCGGGGATGGAGGTGCTGCGCATCATCAATGAGCCGACAGCTGCCGCCATTGCGTATGGCCTGGACAAAGTGGAGGACGGCAAGGAGCGCAATGTGCTCATCTTTGACCTTGGCGGCGGCACGTTTGATGTCACGCTGCTGACGATCGACGGTGGCATCTTTGAGGTGAAGGCGACGAACGGCGACACGCACCTGGGCGGCGAGGACTTTGACAACCGCCTCGTGTCGCACTTCACGGACGAGTTCAAGCGCAAGAACAAGGGCAAGGACCTGACGACAAGCCAGCGCGCCCTCCGCCGCCTCCGCACCGCCTGCGAGCGCGCCAAGCGCACGCTGTCGTCCGCGGCACAGGCGACGATTGAGATCGACGCGCTGTTCGACAACGTGGACTTCCAGGCAACCATCACTCGCGCCCGCTTCGAGGAGCTCTGCGGCGACCTCTTCCGAGGGACGCTGCAGCCGGTGGAGCGTGTGCTCCAGGACGCCAAGATGGACAAGCGTGCCGTGCACGACGTGGTGCTCGTCGGCGGCTCCACCCGCATTCCAAAGGTGATGCAGCTGGTGTCGGACTTTTTCGGTGGCAAGGAACTGAACAAGAGCATCAACCCTGATGAGGCTGTGGCGTACGGTGCCGCCGTGCAGGCCTTCATCCTGACGGGCGGCAAGAGCAAGCAGACGGAGGGCCTGCTGCTGCTCGACGTGACCCCGCTGACGCTTGGCATCGAGACGGCGGGTGGCGTCATGACGTCGCTGATCAAGCGCAACACGACGATTCCGACCAAGAAAAGCCAGATCTTCTCGACGTACGCGGACAACCAGCCGGGCGTGCACATCCAGGTCTTTGAGGGAGAGCGTGCGATGACGAAGGACTGCCACCTGCTCGGCACATTCGACCTGTCCGGCATCCCGCCGGCGCCGCGCGGTGTGCCCCAGATTGAGGTGACCTTTGACCTCGACGCCAACGGCATCCTGAACGTGTCCGCGGAGGAGAAGGGCACCGGTAAGCGCAACCAGATTGTCATCACGAACGACAAGGGCCGCCTGAGCAAGGCGGACATTGAGCGCATGGTGTCCGAGGCTGCCAAGTACGAGGCGCAGGACAAGGAACAGCGCGAGCGCATTGACGCAAAGAACGGTCTTGAGAACTACGCATTTTCGATGAAGAACACCGTAAACGAGCCGAACGTCGCTGGCAAGATTGAGGAGGCCGACAAGAACACGATTACGAGTGCCGTGGAGGAGGCGCTGCAATGGCTGAACAACAACCAGGAGGCCAGCAAGGAGGAGTACGAGCACCGCCAGAAGGAGCTGGAGAACCTGTGCACGCCCATCATGACGAAGATGTACCAGGGCATGGGCGCGGGCGGCGGTATGCCTGGCGGTATGCCTGGCGGTATGCCCGGCGGTATGCCTGGCGGTATGCCTGGCGGTATGCCCGGCGGTATGCCTGGCGGTATGCCTGGTGGAATGCCCGGGGGCATGCCTGGCGGCGCGAACCCGTCGTCTTCGTCAGGACCGAAGGTGGAGGAAGTTGACTGAGAGCGCATCCCTGAAGATGTTCTCATGGCGGCGTCTGTTCGCGAACGAATAACCCGTTGGTTTTCTCCTTTGTAGAACGTAGTGGTCTGCGACAAACCCAGCAGCCATCACTATTTTTATTATTGTTTTTTTTCCCTCTCCATTATTATTATTATTATTATTATTATTATTATTGTTATTATTGGTTACGGTTGTTATTGGTACTGTCATTGCGATGGCACTTGTGCTGTTGAGGGCACCACGGTTGCCTCTGCCATTGTTGTTCCTGTTGCCGCCTGTGTGCGTGTCCTTGTACTGCCGGCTTCCTTTCCTCCTTTCTCCCCCGCTCCTCCGCCGTGTGCCACGGAGCACGCCAGAGTCAATCAAGGTCGAGAGTTATCTTTTAAAAAAACAGCAGGGAAGAAGAAGAAAATGACGTACGAGGGAGCCATCGGCATCGATCTCGGCACAACTTACTCGTGCGTTGGTGTTTGGCAGAACGAGCGCGTGGAGATCATTGCGAACGATCAGGGCAACCGCACAACGCCGTCGTACGTGGCGTTCACCGACACGGAGCGTCTGATCGGTGATGCCGCTAAGAACCAGGTTGCGATGAACCCGACGAACACCGTCTTCGACGCGAAGCGCCTCATTGGGCGGAAGTTCAGCGACCCCGTTGTGCAGTCGGACATGAAGCACTGGCCCTTCAAGGTCATCACGAAGGGCGACGACAAGCCGGTGATCCAGGTGCAGTTCCGCGGCGAGACAAAGACGTTCAACCCGGAGGAGGTGAGCTCGATGGTGCTGTCAAAGATGAAGGAGATTGCGGAGTCGTACCTGGGCAAGCAGGTGAAGAAGGCCGTGGTGACGGTGCCCGCGTACTTCAACGACTCCCAGCGACAGGCGACGAAGGATGCCGGCACGATCGCGGGGATGGAGGTGCTGCGCATCATCAATGAGCCGACAGCTGCCGCCATTGCGTACGGCCTGGACAAAGTGGAGGACGGCAAGGAGCGCAATGTGCTCATCTTTGACCTTGGCGGCGGCACGTTTGATGTCACGCTGCTGACGATCGACGGTGGCATCTTTGAGGTGAAGGCGACGAACGGCGACACGCACCTGGGCGGCGAGGACTTTGACAACCGCCTCGTGTCGCACCTCACGGACGAGTTCAAGCGCAAGAACAAGGGCAAGGACCTGACGACAAGCCAGCGCGCCCTCCGCCGCCTCCGCACCGCCTGCGAGCGCGCCAAGCGCACGCTGTCGTCCGCGGCACAGGCGACGATTGAGATCGACGCGCTGTTTCGACAACGTGGACTTCCAGGCAAACCATCACTCGCGCCCGCTTCGAGGAGCTCTGCGGCGACCTCTTCCGAGGGGACGCTGCAGCCGGTGGAGCGTGTGCTCCAGGACGCCAAGATGGACAAGCGTGCCGTGCACGACGTGGTGCTCGTCGGCGGCTCCACCCGCATTCCAAAGGTGATGCAGCTGGTGTCGGACTTTTTCGGTGGCAAGGAACTGAACAAGAGCATCAACCCTGATGAGGCTGTGGCGTACGGTGCCGCCGTGCAGGCCTTCATCCTGACGGGCGGCAAGAGCAAGCAGACGGAGGGCCTGCTGCTGCTCGACGTGACCCCGCTGACGCTTGGCATCGAGACGGCGGGTGGCGTCATGACGTCGCTGATCAAGCGCAACACGACGATTCCGACCAAGAAAAGCCAGATCTTCTCGACGTACGCGGACAACCAGCCGGGCGTGCACATCCAGGTCTTTGAGGGAGAGCGTGCGATGACGAAGGACTGCCACCTGCTCGGCACATTCGACCTGTCCGGCATCCCGCCGGCGCCGCGCGGTGTGCCCCAGATTGAGGTGACCTTTGACCTCGACGCCAACGGCATCCTGAACGTGTCCGCGGAGGAGAAGGGCACCGGCAAGCGCAACCAGATTGTCATCACGAACGACAAGGGCCGCCTGAGCAAGGCGGACATTGAGCGCATGGTGTCCGAGGCTGCCAAGTACGAGGCGCAGGACAAGGAACAGCGCGAGCGCATTGACGCAAAGAACGGTCTTGAGAACTACGCATTTTCGATGAAGAACACCGTAAACGAGCCGAACGTCGCTGGCAAGATTGAGGAGGCCGACAAGAACACGATTACGAGTGCCGTGGAGGAGGCACTGCAATGGCTGAACAACAACCAGGAGGCCAGCAAGGAGGAGTACGAGCACCGCCAGAAGGAGCTGGAGAACCTGTGCACGCCCATCATGACGAAGATGTACCAGGGCATGGGCGCGGGCGGCGGTATGCCCGGAGGTATGCCTGGTGGAATGCCCGGAGGCATGCCTGGCGGCGCGAACCCGTCGTCTTCGTCAGGACCGAAGGTGGAGGAAGTGGACTGAGAGCGCATCCCCGAAGATGTTCTCATGGCGGCGTCTGCTCGCGAACCAATAGCCCGTTGGTTTTCGGTTTTTTTTGAGTTGAATTATTTGGATTTGGTTCTGTCTAAGAAAAAAAAAATTTTTTGGGAGTGAGGGTCTGGTGTTTGGTTATTGATTTGCAATAGATGAGCATATATTGACTTATGTATAATTATATTTGTATTTTTATAAAATTTTTTGTCATTATTAGCATTTTTATTTGTTTAATTTTTTTTTTTTATGTTTTTTTTTTGTTATGTTTGTCTTTTGTTGGTTTGGTTTTTGTCTTTAAAGCCCGTCGTCTTCACCGAAGGTGGAGGAAGTTGACTGAGAGCGCATCCCTGATCTCATGGCGGCGTCTGTTCGCGAACCCCGTTGGTTTTCGGTTGTTCTTGAGTTGAATTATTTACTTTAAAACCCAAACCTTAACCCAAAAAAGACAAATATAAAACACATGCTGCATAAAAAAAAAAAAAGCTAAACAAACAAAAATGCGAATAATGACAAAAATTTTCATACAGATACAAGTATAATTATAAATAAGTAAATATATGCTCATCTATTGAAGATCACTAACCAAAAACCAGACCCTTCCTCCCATTTTTTTTTTTTTTTTTTTGCTAACACTACCAAATACATACGGTGTTTTATGGATTGATTCACATATATATATATTTATTTATTTATTTATTTATTTATTTCTATTTATACCTTTGTTTGTGTCTTATTATCTTTGACCGAAGAATATTGCTTATTTTAGGAGTCTTTTCAATGTCAGACGGTGGTGGCGGTGGCGGTGGCGGTGGTGGACGGGAATTTTTTTTTCCGTCCAAATTGCCGAAGGTAGAGAACGGTATTTTTTTGCCGCGCGAGGGCAGTCCTCGTGTGATTCCTTTTAGAGCTGCGACACAATTGCGTGGTGCAGGTGCTGTGCAGCATTCGTCGAGCGGGGTGGCTTCTAGTGTTGTCCCTGTGCCATCTGTGGAGCAGGTGGTGGGTGGAGTGTTGCGTCGTGGAGAGGAGGACAGGAGCGCACCAGGCGAGGATGTGGGTGGCACCAATAATTCTGTTGAAGATAAGAACTGCGGTGGGTTTGAACTGCCTGGTCGTATTTTCTGTCGTCGAGATCGTTCGTCTGCGGATGCGGCTGGTGTGAGGCAGGCCGCGGCATCGTCGAAAACGGTGGCGGTTGTCACTGGTGTGATGCCGCGCTACCGTGACACAATGCAGCCTAATGGGGATGCCATGGAGTGTATGCCGCACGAGGGTGACGGTTCTCCAACCTGCGCCGTGGGACACACCTGTGTAGCGGTGGAAGAGAGCGAGTTTATATCCGACGTGCTTTTTATGTGGATGGGTGTGGAGAAGACGAAGTACTTCACGTACGATGCGACGTCTCATCGATATGTTATGAGTGCGGAAGTGGGCACGATGCGCCAGCGTCAGGCCTTCCTCACGCTGCAGGAGTGTGGCTGGCTGGCACACCAGATTGATGAAGTGCTTAGAAGTACTACCACCGAACGGTCCTTCTTGCAGCAGAGTTTGCGAAGCGCAATGCGGCAGCAGTTGTTGCAGTATCATTGCCTGGTGGCCTCCTTTCGGGAGCGTCGATTACCCCCAATGACATTCAGTGATTTGGTTGTCGCATTCAAGAGGGTGCAGCCGAAGTTGCAAGTGCTCTTCACGATTCTCCGTGAGACAGAGTCTGTGAAGGGAGGGGAACTTGCATCAAAGCTGCAGCGGCTCGTGCAGCAGGGTTCTACGAGACTTTATGCGTTGCTCTCTGAGGTTTACATGGAAGCAGTGAGTCCGCTCCTCTACATGGCCGTGTCAAGCATCACCAAGGGGGAGATATCGGATCCCTTTAATGAGTTTTTTGTGAAGTCCAATCCACGAATTGACAACACTTCCGACGCGTTCTGGTCCTCCAAGTTTGCGCTTCTCCCAGAAATGCTCCCAACAACCGTGTCGCGCGCTTTAGCAGAACAAGTCATGTTGGTGACAAAAAATGTTAGTTTTATTAGGAATTGCTGCAGGTGTAAACAGTGGCACATGGACCCGGCTATTGTGACTGCGGCACAAGGCGCCTCTTTCGATACCATTGGTGCGGTTGTTCGTGATGCGATGTGTTTTACAAACACGGCGGTGTTGAAGCTGATTCGTGAGGAATTTCATTTGGACAACGTTTTTCGCATGGTAAACGCCTTCCTGCTGGTTGGAAATGGTGGTTTCTATGAACTTCTTATCGACAGGCTGGACCCTGTGCTCAGTAGACTGAGTCATATGGTGCAAACCTCCATTGTTCGTGATCACATGCAAAGCGCGCTTCTTGACATTGTTCCATACACGAGGCACCTTGACACGGATCTCTTTTCGATGCTGCAATGTGAGATGGTCAAGGACGACAAGATTATTGGCTGGGATGCCTTTCTTGTGACAATGACAGTGCCTTCGCCTCTCAATAACATCTTTGACGTGACCGCCATGAAAGTCTACCGACGGCTTTTCCGCATCATGTTCAAAGTGAAGCGGGCTGAAGTTGCGCTGAAGAAGTCATGGCGACAGAGCGTTGTCTTGGATCGCATCATTGGACGACTTCACAACACAAGCCGTGAGGTCATCGCCTGGCGTGAGGTCGCAGCGGATGCCCACCTCCTTGGACTGCAGTTGAATCATTTTGTAAACAATCTCTGGTCTTACCTCGTGGCGGAGGTATCCACTGTCTCGTGGGACCTGCTGATGAAGGCGCTGCGGCAATGCACCTCACTGGATGAAATTCGAGCCGCCCACATAGCGTACCTGCAGTATCTAACACTCCACTCCCTTCTTCACGGGGACTGCGCCTCGATGCGCCAGAACATTGAGAGTGTCCTCAGCATCGTTCGGCAGTACGTTGGGGCCCAAGCGCTTTTGACGTCGTTGCTGGAACGCGGGAATGGAGACGTGTTTTCTATTAAGAGCGAGTATCAACGCCTGACCGATGACTTTCAGCGGGAAATCACATCTCTTCTCACGACCTTGGAGGAGCAGCACCTGCAATTTGACTTTTTAAACTTTCTTCTTCTGCGACTTAATTTCAATCATTTCTACCACGACACGATGTTTGGGAATAACACGGAGTTTTAGAAGGATGTAGAGTGGTAGGGGGAGGAACGAAAAAAAAAAAAAAAGGATGCGTAGGGTATGTTCTTATTGGTGGTAGTGTGACGATTTCCCTTGTAGAGCATCTCTTTTTCGGTTCCCCCTCGATGCATATTTGACAGCTGCATTATTCTCCTTATGGCCTTTTTTTGTGTGTGTTTTGCTTTGTTTTGTTTTGTTGTTTTCTTCGCCTTTTTAGCGTCCTTCTCTGTACCCCCCTTTGCAGCTGCCATGGCCAGGATCGGGAGAACTGCGGCAGGAAAAAATTGAGGGATGAAGGAAGAGGAGGAAGATTGTGGCAGCAGCAGGATTTTACCTGGCGGGGAGTGAAGCCCCGTGTGTTCATTTTCTGATCATTACATCTCTGTCTGTGTTGGTATGTGATCAGGGGAAAGTGGCCATCTATTTGTTCATGCCTGTTTGGTTACTTGTTACTGATGAATTTCATTGGTTCGCTGTGTTGTCTCATTTCTCTGTTGCTAACGGGCCTGGGCATGAGAAGAACTGGAAAAAGGGAGCGGGAAATATATACATACAGAGCGAGAGATTGGAGATAAGGAATCCATATATATATATATACGCCGTTCTTGTTTCTTGTGGACCAGACGCACGGCGAGGCCGCAACAGTGCGAGCACCATGATTGATCGTGGCCGAGTCCGTCCTGCTGCGTTCCGTATTCCTTTCAATGACAATTTGCCGCTGGATGCATCAAATGGTGGCGCATCTTTTTTGCTCGTGATGATTATTGCTATGGCGCCGTTTCTGGTCGGTGTTATCAACGTGGTCTGGCCCGTGGTGATGAGAAGTTGGAGACAACTTTGGGGTAACTCTGTGAGTGAGGCCAGACGCACCATTACAGGGAGATTTCACCGTTCTGACCCAATATATCGCTGTCGTGAAGGTGGCGCATGTGATCACAGTGGTATTCTTTTCCATGCGGCACTGCTGTACATCGCCAGGGGTGGTGGAGGGACGGAATTATTAAGCGAGGCGGAGTGGCGAAACAAACCATCCGTGCTTTTTCTTTTTGATCCACTCAAGAGTGATTCTCACCTGCTGATTGGCCCAAATTCATTTGAGGCCGCAGGCATATTCCAATCGAAGGTGGAGGGTCGTGTTTTCTGCGAGCGAGAGCGACTCCACCGGTACACGGTTCTTCGACTCCCAACATCTGGCACATGGATGGCAGTGGGCGATGGCATCCAAGTGACGTACCAGCGACAGCGAGAGGATAAGGAAAAAGTGGGCAGAGTCAACCACATGCTGCATTTGAAGGCGGCGGGTCCGAGTGGCTTAAATCGAATAGAGAATTTTGTGTCCCAGTTGTTGCGCCATTATGTGACAGCGCTGCCAACCACCACCAACTCCACGAGGTTCTACTTTCAGATGCAGCTTGGCGGAGACGGGCTTCGCTTTACGAGGAGTCCAATTCCGTCCGCTAAAACCTTTGACACGTTGTTTTTCCCGCAAAAGCGAGATGTTTTGTCGCTCCTTGATCGCTTTCTTCGGAGAGAGGGCCGGTTTGCCGTGGAGGGGGTACCACAAAAAGTTGGATTTTTCCTGTACGGCCCGGAGGGAACGGGGAAGACTTCTTTTGCTGCGGCTCTGGCGGCATACACCTCCCGTCACGTTATTTCTTTGTCCCCCTCACTGTTTTCCACGAATCAACAGCTGCTTAACGTTTTTTTTGGCTGTCAGCTGGAGTGCATCGGTGAGAACGAACCCTTCGAGTTTGCCTACAGCGATGTCATTTTTCTCCTGGATGATGTCGACCCAAGTGATCCGTTGCTGCGTCGCCGCTCTACCGCGGCAAGTGGGGGACATTTGAAAGAAACCGGCAACACCTTGAAATGTGGCGCCCAAGGGCCGCAATTCAGCGACGCAACTTCTATTTCTAGTCTTCTTAACGTCCTCGACGGTGTGGTAGAAACACCCTCCCGCATTGCTGTGATGACTACACGGGACCCCAGCGGCATTGACCCCAGCTTTCTGCGACCAGGCCGTTTCGGCTATAAGATACACATGGATCGCATGCGGCTACCGGAATTGCTTGAGCTTTTAGGTCTTCACTACGGTACAGAAGAGAATTGCGCCACGGAAATCAATGCCGACGCCATTAAAGCGTGGGATGGAATGAAAAGCAATGGATTCAAAAAGGTTCGACAGCTGGGCCAAGAGGAGATCAATAAAGTGCGTCGTTGCATGGCCATGGTTGCACCGGATGATTTTAGCATATCTGCTGCGGTCGCAGAGTCCATGTGTTTTGCCGCTCCCTCACTGGATGTGTTTCTTGATTTGCTTTCTCGCAACCAACACAGTGGCCAAGAAGACGCATTCAAAAGGTGAGGATTGCGTTTGGAATGTTCACTCTTTTCCTTTATCACGTTACGTGTATACTGGAACGGTTGAGGAAGTTGCAATGGCACAGTACCACATTACCTGTCTCGAATCTCCACCCATTTCATACTGTTGTTTTAGTTGTTGTTGTTTCCTCTCTTACTCTTTCTCTATCTCCATCTCACTTTTTCTTCCTTAAAAGCAAGCTAAGCACCGCACACGCGTTTCGCGTTTTGTCTTTTCACTGCTTTTCACCATGGCCGTCGTCTACGAGGGACAACTCAAGGGGCACCGCGGTTGGGTAACCGCCCTGGCCTGCCCACAGATCACTGAGACGTACATCAAGGCGGTGTCTACCTCCCGTGACAACACACTCATCGCATGGGGCAGCAACATGGACCGCAACAGCGAGGAGTGCGAATACGGCTTCCCGGAGCGCCGGCTGGAGGGACACAGCGCGTTTGTGTCGGACGTTGCCCTGTCGAACAACGGTGATTTCGCCGTGTCCGCCTCCTGGGACCACTCCCTGCGCCTCTGGAACCTGCAGACCGGTGTGTGTCAGCACAAGTTCCTGGGGCACACCAAGGACGTGCTCTCCGTTACCTTCTCGCCCGACAACCGTCAGATTGTTTCCGGAGGGCGCGACAACGCTCTGCGCGTGTGGAACGTCAAGGGTGAGTGCCTGCACACACTTGGCCGCGGCGCCCACACAGACTGGGTCAGCTGTGTCCGCTTCTCCCCGTCGCTCGAGACGCCCCTCATCGTGTCAGGTGGCTGGGACAACCTCGTTAAGGTGTGGGACATTGCCTCAGGCAGGCTCCTGACGGACTTGAAGGGCCACACAAACTACATCACCTCCGTGACCGTTTCCCCCGATGGCTCGCTCTGCGCCTCGTCTGACAAGGACGGCGTTGCACGCCTATGGGATCTGACGAAGGGTGAGGCCCTTTCGGAGATGGCCGCTGGCGCTCCCATCAACCAGATCTGCTTCTCGCCCAACCGCTACTGGATGTGCGCGGCCACGGAGAAGGGAATCCGCATCTTTGACCTGGAGAACAAGGACGTCATTGTGGAGCTGGCGCCGGAGGCACAGCAGAAGAGCAAGAAGACCCCCGAGTGCATGTCGATCGCGTGGTCCGCTGACGGCAACACCCTGTACTCGGGATACACGGACAACGTTATCCGCGTCTGGAGCGTGTCTGAGCACGCGTAGGCAACGACGAAGGCCCTCCGCAACAACAACACGAAGCAGCATTATTACCCGCCGTGTGTGTGCGTACGTGTCTATCCCCCCGTGGGACGCGCGTTGTGGTGCGTTGACCTAGGGTTGAAGACACTGCTTGCAACCGTCATTTTATTTTAATTTTTTTTTTTGTTAAATTTATCATTGCCGCACGATTATTACTCCCACTCCTACCCTGGCCCTTGCCTCCAGCCAGACCCTGTTGAGCACCCATGCGGTGAAGGCACCTGGGAAAACACGCTGCTGTGTCTCTGTGTAGCGTTACCTTCAAGGTATTTTTGTCCAACCTTTTCTTCCTTAAAAGCAAGCTAAGCACCGCACACGCGTTTCGCGTTCTGTCTTTTCACTGCTTTTCACCATGGCCGTCGTCTACGAGGGACAACTCAAGGGGCACCGCGGTTGGGTAACCGCCCTGGCCTGTCCACAGATCACCGAGACGTACATCAAGGCGGTGTCTACCTCCCGCGACAACACACTCATCGCATGGGGCAGCAACATGGACCGCAACAGCGAGGAGTGCGAATACGGCTTCCCGGAGCGCCGGCTGGAGGGACACAGCGCGTTTGTGTCGGACGTTGCCCTGTCGAACAACGGTGATTTCGCCGTGTCCGCCTCCTGGGACCACTCCCTGCGCCTCTGGAACCTGCAGACCGGTGTGTGTCAGCACAAGTTCCTGGGGCACACCAAGGACGTGCTCTCCGTTACCTTCTCGCCCGACAACCGTCAGATTGTTTCCGGAGGGCGCGACAACGCTCTGCGCGTGTGGAACGTCAAGGGTGAATGCCTGCACACACTTGGCCGCGGCGCCCACACAGACTGGGTCAGCTGTGTCCGCTTCTCCCCGTCGCTCGAGACGCCCCTCATCGTGTCAGGTGGCTGGGACAACCTCGTTAAGGTGTGGGACATCGCCTCAGGCAGGCTCCTGACGGACCTGAAGGGCCACACAAACTACATCACCTCCGTGACCGTTTCCCCCGATGGCTCGCTCTGCGCCTCGTCTGACAAGGACGGCGTTGCACGCCTGTGGGATCTGACGAAGGGTGAGGCCCTTTCGGAGATGGCCGCCGGCGCTCCCATCAACCAGATCTGCTTCTCGCCCAACCGCTACTGGATGTGCGCGGCTACGGAGAAGGGAATCCGCATCTTTGACCTGGAGAACAAGGACGTCATTGTGGAGCTGGCGCCGGAGGCACAGCAGAAGAGCAAGAAGACCCCCGAGTGCATGTCGATCGCGTGGTCCGCTGACGGCAACACCCTGTACTCGGGATACACGGACAACGTTATCCGCGTCTGGAGCGTGTCTGAGCACGCGTAGGCAACGACGAAGGCCCTCCGCAACAACAACACGAAGCAGCATTATTACCCGCCGTGTGTGTGCGTACGTGTCTATCCCCCCGTGGGACGCGCGTTGTGGCGCGTTGACCTAGGGTTGAAGACACTGCTTGCAACCGTCATTTTATTTTAATTTTTTTTTTGTTAAATTTATCATTGCCGCACGGTTACTACTCCCACTCCTGCCCTGGCCCTTGCCTCCGGCCAGACCCTGTTGAGCACCCTCGCGGTGAAGGCATCTGGGAAACCCCGCTGCTGTGTCTGTGTGTGGGGTTACCTTCAGGGTGTTTTTACCTATCTCTTTTGATTTTTTTTTTTTTTGAAATTACAAGTACTCTTCAAGTTATTCCTTGTGTTTTTGTTGTTGGAGCCAATGTTGCGACGAGGCAGGTTATTTTTGGCCACGGCGGCGTCCAACAAGCCTGAAACGACAAATTCTCCTGTGATTGCTCCTGGTGTAGTGCGGTCCCTCTACCGCATGCTGCTGCGGGAAGTTGTAAGGCTAGACAAGTCCGCGGTATCGAAAACGCTCTTTCCGCTCACAAAGGAGCTGCAGAGCATCACAAAGAGCCATGGACCACTGTATGTCCCAAATGGTGTGAAGTACTTGGCTGTCCTTCGTGAAGTGTTCCGCGATGTAAACTCACCGGCGAACATAAATTTGGCCTTTGATACCCTAACGCGTATTCGAGCGCACAATGAAAAGGTCACAGCCAGGGTTTCCTTGTTTATGAAGGACCACGTTCCTCTACTCACTACGATGCAAGCATCGCAGCCCAAGACAGGCGCGTACCGTGCAGAAACTGCCGCATGCATCGTGCAAAATGGTCCCAAGTATGCACCTTTAGGAGGATCTGTCTTTTCTGTCCCCACGAAGGTGGTACTGCGGCAAACGCGCACGGTTGACCTTGCTGAGGGTGTTGCCCTGGTCGCACACCCTCTTTCCTCCACGCACGTGGATCGTCGAGTGCTGTTGATCACAGAACGCAATCCCCATGTAACCACCGCAGTTGTTTTAGACATGCTGTTTACTTACCCGTTATCTCGAGGAAATCCTATGTTTCCTGAGGTGTTTTGGGGCCACGAAGTGCACGATGGTGGATTTTCGCAAATTGGTTTTACTATGCCGCCCACCGCGCAGGTCATCATTTTGCACACGACCGAGCCTCCGACAGAGCCCGAATCCCCACAATATCTTGCTTGGCTCAAATGGAAGGAACGCAAACCCAAAACTCAAGCAGGTGATACGCCTTCTGAGCATCACTCTCTCCTTTGTAAGCCTTTAATTCGTGGTGGGGTTTTGGAGGATGGCACCGTGGAACCCACGCTTTATCTGTCCAAGGTGGAATCTTTACCGTACCTGGCCCAGCTTGTGCCAGGGAAGCCGCGATCTTCCCTTCGGGTTTACTGGGGAAGCATGCGGTGGCCGACGCAGCAGTTGGAGGCTGAAGTAGCCAATGGGCATTGGATTCCCGTGAAACTTTCTCCTTCATTTTTCGGTCCCTTTCCGCTGGTGCCGGAGTCAGGAAAGGTTGTCGAGAGGTTTCCAACAAAAGAAGAAATGGAGGAGGCACGAACGATGCGTGAACGACGGTATGGCGTGGATGTGTCACTGCCGCAAGCCTTTCCACCGGATCAAATCCTGCGGCGTCGCGAATGTCTATGGGATCAAATAATGTATTGTCTTGGGGGGGAGTTTAGTGCCCTGGTGGGTTGTGTGAACCCATTTTCGGGAACAGCGCGAGGAGTGTTGCCATTGGAAGTCGCGGGGCCTTCAGTCATGAGTGGGGCTTTACCCGCCGAGGACGCAGAGACCCTCGTCCACGAGGAGGATGACATGGAGGAGGGAGAGGAGGAAGTGGAAGAAGATGAGGAACACGATGTGGGCGAAGAGATTCATGATATTGGGCTAAGTGGCATGGCGAAGGAAGAAACGACAACGTTAAGGGGAAGGGAAGGAGGTGATGCGTCTTCATCCATGCCGGAAAAGCCGCCAGAGTGCGGGAGTGGGGACGACAAGAAAAAGAAATAAAATCTGCCCCCGCTCTTCCTCCCTACCGATGGAGGAAGACAGACAAGAAGCGGACAGGGGCAGATTTTATTTCAACAAGTTCACTGCGAAGAAGTAAAAAAAGAAAACTAACGAGGAAAAACAAGAAAAATTGATTCAAGGCGTTATTATTCGGAGAAACTGAAATAAGCGCAATGCGGTTTATATATATTTATATATTTATATATTTTTATATTTATATAAATGTTCTTTTCGGACCCTCACTCGTTTTACACAATTTATTACGGCATTTGCCTCTCTATTTCTATTAGTTTGTGCGTTTGTGGAGTCTACCCGTCCCTCTCCGTTCCCCTCCTCCCTCCCATGCTTGAATTGCCAGGGGGGAAGGGAGGGAGGCGCCGATTTGTTACACAACCGTGCTGGTGCATAATCGCTCTATTCGCCTTCTATTTTTCTTTGTGCTACTCAGGGGAAGGATGATTCTTGCCTTTAATAGTTCTTTCTTTTTTTTTTTTTTTTTTTTTTGTGTGTGTGTGGGTCCGGGGGGGAAGTTGTTTTTGATTGGCCGCGGCTCGCTCAACGTGTGATCATTTCTACTGTTCTGCCTCCCACACCCACATTTTTTTTTTTTCCTTTTTCTTTCTGCCTTGTTCTTGTTTTGGTTCATTCCGTGATTCCTCCATTTAGGCCTGACGGTGCGGCCGTGGACGTCGGCACACTCGCGGTGGAAGTGAACACACCTCCCTTTGTTAATCGCTATCGCTCAATAGTTTGCCTTGCCCATCCATGACGGAGGGTGCGGCGGCCCAGAAGATTACCCTGCGCCTTACAGCCAAGGCGGGCATCACAGAGACGCTTCCAAACATGAACTGCGACCCGGGAGAAACGCTGGGACAGGTGCAGGCCCGCATTAAAAAGAAGCTGAAGCGTCCCGTGCTGTATCTCTTCGTGATGCGTGGCTCCGAGGGGTTCATACCCACGCCGGATCAAACACTGGAGTCGCTGCTGCATGCGTATGCGGAGTCCGATGGGCAGAGAGAGTTGTCCATTGCCGTCTCCACGGGGATTTTTCACGGCTGAGACAACGCCACCCGTCTGTAGCGAATGAATGGCGGTGGGGTTTACGCAAGAGGGAGCGGGAGAGAAGCAAAAACTTATTTTGCGTGGAAGGATCGGAAATTCGTCTCGTATACTACTCGCTTTTTGCCGCTTGCTGCCATCATGGCGATTTCCCTCTCCTTCTTTTTTTTTTTTTTGTTGTTGTTGTTCGTGCGTGTGGGGGTAACACTTCTTGCGAACGGAATGAGGAGGCGAGTGAAAGAAGGATAAGATCAACACTCAATACCCCACGCCGGACGGAAAACGAAAACAATACATCTATAAACATACATACATAAATATCGCGGCGATGATGAACATAACCCGGCTACTGCGGGAGGCGCTGCACAACTACGTGTCGCTGCGCTATGCTCCGTCATTTCAGCAGCCGCAGCCCCGTGAAGTGATTGGGGTACCGACAAGAGGGATTCCTCCAAATTTTCTTCCGGCGTTTGTCGTCCCGGAGGCGATTGGCGAGGAGGAGGAACAGGCCCTCCTCGCCTTCACGGAGCCGTGGTTTTCCCGTCTGCCATACAATGACGGTCACATGGACTCGCTGATTCACCACTTTAAGGAGTTTTATCGCTCTTACCGGGAAATAGCGGGAGATACCGCGGACAACGGAAGCAACAGCACCCACGAAGAAGTTGATGAGAAAACGGCGGCCCTCGCGCGCACAGCGCTAAGGCGATGCCGAAAGCTCGCGTCAGAGTACCTGGCAAACATACCCTTGGATGACCGAGTCCATTTTTTACGTTTGAACAGCAACGGTTTTATTCGAGCGCACGTGGACGAAAGTCGAAATTCAAGTGGCATTGTGGCGGGCCTCTCTCTTGGCTCCGCGCGGGTGATGACGCTGACGCATCCGAAGCACCCCGAGGAACGAGCGGAGCTGCTGCTGGCCCCGCGGGCGTTTTACGCCCTCATCGGGACCGCACGATACGAGTGGGAGCACAGCGTGGACTGGTCGGAGGATGGCACCGAGAACCTGGAGAGGGTGCGGGGAAATTTGCTGATGGAAGGAACCCCCGTCACGTTTGACGGGAGGGAAACGCAGCACAAACGAGGGGAACGGACAGCAGTCATCTTCCGCGGGGTTTCCCCGATAGAATTGCTGCTGACGAAGATGCGAATGAAACGCGCGGCCACGTGAAACATGTTTCGCCTACTCCCCCTTTATTTGAGTTGGTTTGTTTTCTTTTTCCGGTCGCCCCTCCCGAAATTTTTTTGGGTGCGCTCCCACTCAACGGCCCCACGCTGCCTTTTTCCCCTCTTTCTTTCCGCCAGGGTTTCTCTAGGGAATGTTGTTTTCATCGCGTCAAAACCACAGCGGTGCTTCACGGCGGGATCGGCGGCAACGCAAACACCGGCGCAACACACCACCATCATGAGCCACGGCAGAAGCAATAGCAGCGGCGCGGTGTGGCGTGACTGGCGCATGGCTTGGGGACAATGTGTCTGTTCCTGAGGTGCGGGCAGCAGCAGTGGTACTAGTAGTGGTGGTGGTGGTGGTAGCACAGGCCTTGTCTGCGGGAGAAGAAGCAGAAGGAGGAGAAGAGCAGAGGGGCAAAGGGACGCTGCAGCCACGAGAGAGAGGGGCAGCACCACAAATTACCGCAGCGCACGCACAGACAACAACAAAAAATCGACACAGCCTCCAAATAAAGCCAAAGCACGGAATAATGTTCGCCAGGGCTGCTGGCCGGATCCTGAACTGATACGCACAAATAAAACAGGACGGGAAAGAAGAGGGCCATGGAGAGGCAGCGGCCTCGCCACATCCTCAATGTTTGTCCCAACTACATCTATATATTCTGACAGGCACTCTCGTGCCACGGTGCGGCGTGTTCGGGTTGGAGACATTTATTACCTACGAAATGGAAGACTTTTGTCCCCTCCAGCCAAAAGACCTCGCCGCAAGGTCGGAATCAAAGAGGGTGGATGTCAAAAAAATAGAAATAAAGTTCGTCGTGCCGCTATCGGTTCCTTGATTCCTTCCATCGGGGCCTTCCAAAGGACCACAAGATGGGAAAAGGATCACACGGAAATATTTTCTACGTTTTACCAGGACTTATATTAAATTGGGCAGCCAGCCCTCTCGCTAGCATTCCTTCTCAAAGGCACTGAAAAACACCAGCACCCCATCTACGCAGTGGCACGCACACGGAGTGAGGAGCGGGCACAGAAGAAAAAAGTAAAAATAGTCGGCGACATAATCTCCTCCAGCAAAAGACAAGGGAAACAAATGTAAACGGCTCGCACCCTCGTCATGCTGTCGCCATGGCCGCGACGGATGCATTCCGTGGCCCACGGCGAGTCCAGCGTGAATCCCCACTCCCACGATCATTCATCACTGGCGAAAAGGGGCTGCCGAGTGTGTCTTTCGCCCGCCTCCCACGCGGGGCAAGAAGGATCGCGTCGGGCGGGCCTCCGCACCAATAAGTTAGGCAAGGTGGACACGGCCGGGAAGTTTTGACACCCACTCGTAGGGCCCGGCCATTCCCCCGCAGCCAAAATGAATAATAGTAAAACACAGGAGAGGCCCGCCTGCGTGGAACGCCGCGGCGAGGGCGCTCGTCCCCGCCCTCAGCACAGCAGTCACGAACACCCCCGCACCCATTGGGTCACGGCGACTTCCCATCGCCTGCCCGCACCAAAAGTCGCACGTGGGTGCATGCGGTGCTGGGACTCGTCTCCTCCCTCCAGACCACCTCGCCACCACGCAGGCTGCGCATAAGTTCATTCCCTCAGCACACAAATGTCCGCTAAGCCACGCATCGCAGGCAAAAGAAAACAAATACACTCATTGTCCGTTTTTCAGAAGCGAAGAGAGGAATAGTGCAACAGTTGCACGGTGCTATTATTACTGCTGCGCTGCGTCTTGCGAGCGCGGGGTCGACAAGCCATGTGAGCATCACGGCACTGCCGCACGCCGGCCACCATCGCCGCGCCGCTCGCCCCACCACCCACGCTGCCCGATAAATTTATTGGCGGCAGAGCCCCGGAATCAGAGTCGCCGCGGCCGCTTCCTCGGAACCTCGCCCTCGTCTCCCTCCGCACCCTCCGCGGATGCCGGGTCGTCCGCTAGAGGCGGGTCAACGACCGGTATTGGGTAGCTGCTGATGTTCGGGAAGGCGGTGCACACATCGGCGTATTGGGGGCACACAATGCTCCCACGCCAGGGACCCGATGGTGGCGTGACGCTCTCACCCTCCTGGCACTCGTGCCACGCATCGTCATCAAGGAACCGCACGCTCACTGTGCCGTCGCCGCATCGAGTGTCCACACACACGTCGCCAATGTATTTGTCGTCGAATTGAAGGTCCTGCCCCTCTACGCACCGCGAGTTCGGGCCAACAATACTGCCAGGCATTGCGGAAGTGTTGCCGTTGGTGCACCCAGTATCAGAATACGCCTTGACATACGGACATCTGCTCATGAAGAGGTCATCACCGCCAACTCGGGGATCAGCGAAGTACCGATACTCCTGTGGCAGGGCTTCCTCGTGCCTCATCAGCCTACAGAACCCCAGAGACAGACGGTTGTACGTGCAGAAGAACTTTGGATCGTCGTAAAACTGGTTGCAAAACAGTTGAGGGTATTCGGTGATGCCGTCGGTCAAGCACTTCTTTTCCAGCAGCCCACAGCCAGAGTTGTTGCCCCACCACAACATCTCCGCCGCACTGTAGTTTGCCAAATAAACACCCATGCCCTCGAATGCTGCAAGCGTCAGTGCCGAGTACAGCCCAACCCCCACATCACTAGTCATCACCTCGTCCTTCATGTTGCGTTTCTTCCAATGCGACAGTACACTTTCAGGACCACCCTCGTCCTCCAGCTCAATGCCCTCAAGCGTGGGGCAGTTGTGGTACTGACGCGCCATTGCCTTAGTCTTCGGCGTTGAAACCACCGACACCTTGGGCATCCCGCGCATGTTCGGGACCTCGGAAATCATATGTAGCATCAAAAACACATCCCGTCCAAACCCAAGAGCATGCCCCAACTCGTGGGCTGCTGCACGCACGTATACATTTGTCGTCACTATTTGCCTCGGGTCAAAGTTCACGGCGGCAACAACTGGACGGCCATCATCCAGCCAAGCGCACGGAAACGCCCATGCGGTTAGACCAGAAGTCGGAAAAATATTGGCGTAGAGAATCATGTCGGCGCCAGCCACACCCACCGTGTGGTGCCTGCGAGGGATGGTGAAGTTATCGCACCACCCCAGACCGGTACGCGGAATAACGACGGGGCGCGTCACGGGCCTCACGGAGAGACGCTCCGCGTGCAGTTGAATGGCGGCGGGGAGAATTTGCCTCAAAACAATGTTCCTCCTCTCCTCCGTCAACACGTCGTCCGCCCCGCATGTTATTGCGCGGCCAAAGTGGTCAATGCGCAGATCCCCCGCCGCACTGCAGTGCCTCAACGGGTCGTGCATGTCCTCCGCGGACACCTTGATGCGGATCGGAGCCCAGCCATCGTCCCCATCCTCGCTGGCGGCGGTGTACGCCTGCACGGCACCCTGTCCCCGGCGCGGCACCTCACGCACCACCGCAGTCGGCAGCCGGCCGTATTTCTTCATCATCGCGTCAAACCCACAGCGGTGCTTCACGGCACGATCGGCGGCAACGCAAACACCGGCGCAACACACCACCATCATGAGCCACAGAAGCAGCAGTGGCAGCAGCGCGGTGTGGCGTGGCTGACGCATGGCTTGGGGACAATATTTCTGTTCCTGAGGTGCGGGCAGCAGCAGTGGTATTAGTGGTAGTGGTGGTAGCACAGGCCTTGTCTGTGGGAGGAGAAGCAGAAGGAAAGAGGAACAGAGGGAAAAGAGACGCTGCAGGCGTAAAAATAATTTGTTCAATTTTTTCTTTTCCGTAGCCTTTCTCAGCGTTAAATTAAAATTTTTCGTATCGCGTTGATGATTATCATATTTTGGGGTGTCGGTGGAAGTTGGATAATTTTGAAAAAATGGTGTAAAAAAGGACTGAAGGATCATGTGGAATATCCAATTACTGAGATCGATTCGGTTTGATTCGCTAAAAGAAGAAGCAAGACTCAGAATTCGCGAAGCAGTGATGAAATAGGGGGAATGGTAGATGTCTACTTTTCACTGATAGTGCACATGATCCCCTCGAACTTCACCTCTTTCTTTCTCTCTTTCTCTTTATCGATTATTCGGTGACAAATTGTCGGTATCCGTGTCAGTACGCAGGTGCACCACGACGTTGTGTCTGCGTTTCCCCTTCATTCAAAAAGCAACGGCTCTGCGCCGGTCGCTTAGGGATGTACTTTGAGCGAAACAGCCCCCGCTGCTGTCTTCGGGCCACCTGCACAGCCGAGAGCCCTGTTTTTCGCAGCGCAGCTGACTGAAAACGGCGGTCGGACTCAAACTCAGCACGAGTCACTCCAAATACAACAAACAAAAAAAGTATCGCCAAGTTAGGAAGCACCATGGTCCACGTGGTGCCAATCGAAGAGAGGATCTTCTGAATACCCGGACGTGGTCTGGTGCAGTTGCCTCTGCTAGGATCGTAGTCATCATCGCAGGTGGCACACGTTGGTGGGGCCCAATACCCCCGTTGGGAGTCTTTGAAGCAGATGCAAGGCGACTCATTCAGTGGATCGTCTGGTTTGCGACAGCAGCCGTGGCCGTTGCATGTGATTAGCGGATCGCAGTTGTGGTTTTTGCTGCTGAACTGCTTCTTGCATGAAGTACCGTTACCCACGATAGAATAGGCACGCCCCTCACAAGTGGTGCAATTGAAGTGATATTCATTTTTACTCTCCTCGCAAACAACGTCATTTGCGCATTGACTAGCCCATAAACCAATGTTGCTGCAGTTCGTTGGACATAATGCCGTGTATTTAAAACAATAATTACCCTCGGGCTCTCCGGTATCAAAGGAACCCTCCCACGCGCATACGCCTTTGCTCCTCTTCACAACGATTGCAGAGGCATTGTTGCACGTACATTCAAAGGAATACTCCCCACATTCACCGGAAGAAACAATGCCGCCACGATAAAAAACTTCGTAACACCATGAAGCGGCGTTATCGCAGTCTGTGGGGCATGACATCGTTGAAATAGCAGCTGCCCTCGCACAAAAAGGAGTAAAAAACACACCAACAAATAATACACACGCCGACAGAAGCGTCATATTTTCCACTTCTCCTTCCTAATCAATTTTTCTTCACTTTTAGGTTACGCGGTGGAAATAAAAATACTGGCATTTAGTTGGAGGAAGAAAAAAAAAAAAGAACAGCAGCAACAACAATAACCAAAAAAAAAAAAAAAATGGCAAATATGCGTTAAAGAAGTGAACCCGCCAAAATGGAAGCGTGAGCAGGATCGATCCTACAACACGACATGACATGTGTGAAGGCTTCCCCTTTGCGATGACCGCCACCCGCCTCCTCGCTCCCCTCTCCCAGAAATATACCGCATTTTTCCTCCCATCCATGCAATGTCTTCCCAAGCCAAACCCTGCCACCCTGACCCCTTCGTTGGTGTCTTTTCCCACATTCTTATGTAAGTATGTGTCTCTTCCTGTGTTATTATCAGTCCGGTCTACATTTTTTTTTCTTTTCGTTTTTGTTTCTTCGGTAAGAACACTACAACAATATATATATATAATATATTATATTATGCTAAACACAGTCCCCGAGACCCAAGGACGGCGCAGACACGAATGATCGTCGTCAACAAAAGCAGTGAGCCAAGCTGATGAGCCGTGGCGATGGGGATGTCCACGTATGAGATAACGGTCCAAATACCAAGCCCAACCTGCAGCGCCAGAACGCCGTTGACAGAAATCATGCTACGTCGCAACATCTTTGGAAGCGCTGCGCTGTGGAGAACACAAGCCGCATTCAATCCCAAAATAGAAATGGTGCTAACTGCAGCCATCAGGCGGTGCCATGTTTGCGCCGCTGCCGGGTTTTCAAGAGCATTGCGCCACCATGGCTCCACCACAAGAAGGTGGTCGCGGGGAGGCACAACCCCACCACCCATCCAAGGGAACTCGTTGTTGTACATGAGACCCGCATCCAAACCCGCAACAAAAGCTCCCGAAACTACGGTGCAAAAAACAACTGCAAAAGAAAGCCGGGCAAAGGACTGGACAGTTGTGTTGCCCTGAAAATGAACCGGCCGTGGAAGCTTCAGACCAAACCCAATACGCATCATACTGGCGTAAATCGTAAAGGCCAAAACCAAATGCGCTGCGAGGCGGTACGCTGAAACAGTTGCCTTCCGTTTCTCCTCCAATAAGCGTGGGTCAAGGCCGCTGCGAACCATGTACCACCCCATTGCTCCTTGTGCACCGCCCAACGCAAGGATGGCGATGATGGACCCAGTGAGTGCTTTCTGGCCCTTAAAACGGCCCTTCCAGAAAAAGTACATCATGGGAAGACCGTAGACAAGCCCTATACTGCGCGCCAGTACTCGATGGGCCCACTCCCAGAAGAAAATAAACTTGAACTCGTCCAATGTCATCTTGTCCTTTTGCTTGAATTCAGGGAAGTTTTGGTACCTAGTAAATTCCTCCTCCCATTCCTTATGTGTGATGGGAGGACGAACACCCGTTACAGGCTTCCAATCCACAATACTCAATCCACTCTCAGTCAGGCGTGTAATACCGCCAATGACAACAACACCACCCACCAGTGCCGCTGAGCAGTACAACCAGTGTGCCACCGCTTTGTTAGCAGGAGGAGCTATCCAGCTTGCCTCTCTGAAGCCCGAAACGGTGGACTGAAGTCGGCGTTTAAATAAAAATGCCCAATGCAACCGAGTGGTGTTTGTTTGAAATACCCGCGGCCTGAATCGCAACATTTTCGATCCCCTTCTATCCTTTTTGCTTGTTTGTTTTGTTTGTTTGCGTTTTTCTCCTTGTTGCTACTCGGTTGTTGTTGTTGTTGTTTTTTCCCCACCCACCCCACCCTCCCTCGCCGTCTTTTTGTTCGCTAACCACCAACTGCGTGTCCGGTCTTCTTTCCTTTTGTTGTTGTTGGTTTGTTTTGTGCGTCTGTGTTTTGACTGCTCTCTCCAAACTGTGCCGCCCCAACAACAACCAAACAAAAAAAAAAAAAGAAAGTACCCCAAATTGAGGCACATGAGAGTCCCCCAAGACACACAGACACACAGACACACACACAGAGAGAGAGAGAGAGGGAATAATAATAATAATAATAATAATGGCTCCCATCTAAAAATGGTGGGGGATTGCGCCAGAGACGGTAGCAAAGATTCCCCACAAGGTGGGCATTTCTCCCTCTCCCTCTTCTTTTCCCTCCGACACACACGCACCACGCAGACCCACAAATTTATCCCCGTTATGGGCTGCGATGACCCTCTCACAAGAAGTACTCGGGCGGGGGCTTTTTAGTCAAGTGCCCGCGCTCTTCAGCGGGAGCCGCCCCAAATGTGATGAAGCTGCGGTCTGTTCGTGACTTCTCGCCTATTTTCATGATGGACGCAACGTTGCCGCAGCGGTAGCAGTAGTTTGGAGCGGACCACACTGTGCAACAGTTGTCGTCAAACATGGACTTGTAGCCTTCAAAAACGAGTTGGTGAGCGCGTGCAATAAGCGTGATGCCGTTCCTGTGATTAAATGCCTTCGTGACGTCTGCGCCAAAAATAAATCCCGCACCTCGTGGGCTAAGGGCCCAACCGTTGATGTCGTCAGGGTCGGACCACAGAAGATCTGTCATGGGGCCCTCGTGTGGAACTTCCTGCTTACGATCCAAAACACGAATTTCATCGAGTGTGTTAATGTCTGGGCTCAGACCGCCGTGCACGCACAACACGTCCTCCTCTACCAAAGCCAATAACGGCATGTAGTCAAACAAATCGGTGCAAAAGCGCCAGACATTGGCGCTACCGTACTTTCTGTAGCATTCGTCGTAAAAGCCATACACCTGCGTGATCTGACGGGACTCGTGATTACCGCGCAAAAGTGTCATGCGGTCTGGGTAGCGGACTTTTAGTAGAAGCAGCAGCAACAGGGTCTCGACGCTGTGGTAGCCGCGGTCCACAAAGTCCCCCATGAACACATAGCTGGTGTCCGGCGCGCGGCCGCCATGACGAAAGAGCTCCAACATGTCAAATAGCTGGCCGTGGATATCGCCACACAGTGTGACGGGAGCGTACACAACCTCAATGTTTCCCTCCTCGAGAAAGAGGTCCTTGCAGCGGTCACACAGCTGCGCCACCTGCTGCTCACTAATAAGTTTGCCGGCGTACAACGTCTCTATCATCTCATTCAACTCCGCCATGATGCAGAAGCTGCAACGCACACACAAACTCTATCCCCCTCTCAAAGAAAAAATAATAATAATAAATAAAAAATAAAAAGAAACAGCGAGAAGTCAACAAATCACAAAAAAAAAAAAGGGGGGGCGGCATTTCAAAAGACGCCAGGCATGCGGATGTACAGAGAAACTCTAAAAGAAAAAAAAAAGAAAAGAAAACGCTGGCATAAGAAAAATAATAATAATAAAAAACACTACGGCCTCCAATTATTCAAGGACTCGGCTGAAAACGGATCGAGGTGCTATTTACGCAGTGTCGCTCATTTGGCGGAGGGTTGCAAAGCCCCTCGCCACGAAATAAATGGCCCAAATGACTGTTGCATGCATTGCACACAATCTCCGTGCGCACCCCGTCACTGTCAGGCTCCTCCCGCACCGCCCCTGGAACGCAGTCCCAAAACGCTGGCCAGCCGCAGCCGCAGCGAAATTTCATCTCAGACTTGTACAGCAGCGTTCCACATGCGGCGCATAAATACTCGCCTGGCTCAAAGTGATCATTGTACGGCCCAAAGCGTGGGTCAGTGCCCTTCTCTCGCAGGATGTGAAACTGTTCTGGTGTCAGTTTCCTTCGCCATGCGGCGTCGTCAATGTCTTTTGAGCCGTCAGTCTCCGCGTGGGAAGCGCAGTGCGTCATTTGAAGCTTTCTGCAAGTAGAATGAAAACGACGCAAAAAAGACGCCGCAGCAGAAAAGGGAACAGACACAGAAGGTGGCAGCGGCGGAAGCAGCATGGTCACGGTGCGGAAACGCCCACGGCGCATGCGTCGGCGTTTCCACCCCGAAAACAAACAGAAGCAAAAATATGTGTTGTTTGCTTCTTTCTTCTCGGTTTATTTATATTTTCCCCGCGCCGGGAGGAACGTGAAGAAGAACGGCGGGGGAAAAGGAAAAAAAAAAAAAAAAAGGAAGGGAGGGAAAAAGACAACAAAAAAAAAAAAGGTCGAAATATTCGTAAAAGAAACACAACTAATAATGGCAAAAGGAGACATTGTCTAAATGGAGAATTCCTCTGCTCATTATTTTTATTATTTCCTTCCGTTGTTATGTGTCTCTTCCACCTCCACTTCCCTCTTCCTTCTCCCCGCTCTCCCACACGGAGTGAGGCCTGCAAAATCGTCTATGATGTCGTCATCCAATTTGCCCCACAGAAGCTGGAGAGGAGGCACGTCTGCCATTTTGTGTGCGCGTTCGTCAAACTTCAGCGTCGCGCCGTCTGCCGCTGAGTCCGGCTGGTTTTGCCGGTCTTCTTTTTTCTATGCGTTGGTGGAGGCTTCTCCTCCCCCTCCTCCTCCTCGAAAAATTCGTGCGCCTCACTGTCGTCCTGATCAAACTCACTCTCAACCTCCGTCTCGTTGTCCCAGCTGTCATGCCTCACCGGCCTGGTCACCTCGCTGCCCCTCGCACGACGCGGTGGGGGCGATGGCGGTGTCTTATTTCTCTTCTTCGCCGCCTTCTGCCGTCGCGCGGGGAGCTCCTCCTCCTCCTCATCGTCATCATATTCCCGTGTCTCGTCAACGGCTTCTTCTTCGTGAAAACTTTCTTCATCATCATCATCCTCATCCTCATCTGCTTCATCGTCCTTGTCTTCATCGGCGACGTTGTCATTCATTTTGGCGGTCTCCCTCACATTTCGCCGTGGTCGCTTTTTCTCGCGTCGTGCTGGAGGTGCCAAATCACCCTCATTTTCAAACGTATCAACAGCGAATTCCTCCTCCCCCTCTTCGTCATTATCCACGTCAGCACTGTCATCGTCGGCATCGGCAGAGTCATGGACGGCGGTCTTCTTTAAAGAGGCACGTTTGTTGTTTGAAGCCACGGCAACTTCACGGTTCTCCTTCTTTTTCTTTTTCTTCTTCTTCATCGCAACAACAACATCCTCGTGATCATCAGCATCGTCTGCCGCGGCACTGGCATCGTCTTCAGGTATGCTGCTTTCTACGCGACGCTTCGCCAGCGGGATGACCAAACGCCTTGGGCGGATTTTTGCCACCTTTGCCTTCATTTTGAGCCGCGTCTTGTTTTCCATTTTCTTCTTTGCCGGGGCATCTTCCGTGTTTTTGTTCCTTCGCACAGCGGTGGCGGCGGTAGTGGCCGCAGCCGTCGTTGCTGGTGTTGATTTTGTTTTCTTTGTTGGTGGTGACTCGTCTTCCATCGGCGTCTTCTCTTGTGACTCGTACCTTCGGCGCGGGTGGAGCTGCTGGAGTTTCTTTTCGCGCGCCGTAGACTTCCACCAGGCGCCCTTTTCCTCCAATTCGTCCGGCGTCGCTGCATTACCGTCTGCGTCCCCCGGCGTCCCGCCTGAGTCCCTCTGCGGCTGCTCATGACCGCTGCCACTGCTGCTGGATGCGGGGGCGTCGCCTTTACTTTTGTCGTCATTACCCTCATTTTCGCTTTGCGCCTCCGCCGCCGCTGTCGCGGACGATGGCGTTGCGCCTCCTTCGGTCAGCATCCCTGCCGTCTCCACTCCCCCCGCGTCTCTCGTCGCCGGTGGCGTTGGCTCTGGCACGTTCTCCAGCTCCGACATGAGTATTTTCGTGAAGTCACTCTTCCCCCCGCGCTTCGCGAGCACGAAGGACTCGCCGATGCTCAATCCGTCCTCCTGCGATCCCGGCAGGGTCCTGAGCATGTCGTACAACGTCAGACCGGCGACACTGGCCCCCGTCAGCGCCTCCATCTCCACTCCCGCCTTGGAGTCATCACTCGCAACGGTGCAAAAACAGTACAAAACGCTGCACTCTCCGCGGGCACGGCTGGGGGGCGGTGGGGGGCTCACGCGTTTACGCAACACCACCCGATGGGGAAGTGCGGAGGTTCGACTGAGACCCGCAACGACCCGCCGCCTAAAGGTGAAGGAACACTTCTGAATACGTACAGGATGACAGAATGGAATCAGCTGACTAGCTTGCTTCACGGCATTCGTGCCAGCAATCACCGCGGTGGCAAACAAAGGGCCCTTCTTTGAAGTGTAAAACTCCTCCATCTGCGATACAGGGGACCGAGTTTCTTCAGAGGAACTGCTGCTTACGCCGCCGTCATTTGGCCTCTGCAAGGACGGTGCAAGCGTCTGCTTCATGTTCTCAAGCAGAAAGTTGGCAGCTGGGGGAACAACAATTGTTGAGACGGCAGTAGCAAGGCAATAGGGCGGCTTCTTCTCACTGGTGTCCACTGTTGCCTCCGTCGTTTTCGCCATCGCCGTCGTCTGAACTGCCACGTTATCGCTACCACTACTGCTAGTATTCGCAACACCACTTCCCATGTTGCTGTTGGTGCCTACCTTTTCGTCGCCGCTGCTTTTTTGGTCATGGTGATGATGTGGTTGGCGGTTCGGAGCATCGATGTTGGGAATGACTGATGCCGTCTCCCCTTTCCCCCCTGCACGTTTTGCAGGTGTTCGAGTCCGCGACGGCAAACGTCTTCTTGCGGGTGACTTCATTGTTCTTCGCGCCGTAGTTGCCACCGCCGCCGCCCGCCCACGCCTTGACGGTGGCTTCAGCGGCTTCTTTTTTGCGAGCAACAAGGTCGCGAGCCTAAACATACAAATATGTCTCTGTCTGCACCTTCCCCCGCAGCCTTCTTTGCTGAGGCAGTGTGTGCAAATGGGATGCAGGCATGTGTGTGTGTGTGTGTGGGTTCGAAGTAAAAGAAAAAAAAAAAAAAAAGGAAAAGTAAACCATCTAGAGTGCTATCCATGCATAAAAAGACACGCACAACAGTTGCACGGGACGCGTACATGAGACACACATGTCCCATTTCCTCCTCATACTGTGTTCTTCTCTCTGTTGCCTAAACCCCCGATAATCTCCCACCTTTTCCCCTCTCACTCTAATATTTTCTCTGACCATCTATAAATCTATCTAATTTCATGTGTCTCATGGCAGCCAAATTGCATGGATGGCATCAATACAGCAGCGGGATCACGGGGGGAGAAGAACTTGATTCCAACAATAAAGGGGAGTGCAGGGAGCCGGGTGCGCCGCCGCACACGCAGCGCAGATCAACCATCACCGCCGTTTCAGCCTCCTCCACCGCCCTCAACAACTCCGCGCAAGCGGGCGAAGACTCCCGCGATGCCTCCACGCCCTCGTCAAAATAGGCTTCGATGCTACTGACACTTCCTGACATGCTGCATGCGGGATTCATGACAGGCCGCTGCTTCACCGCCAGTGCCTCCACCTGCCCCACTGCCCCACATGGAGGCTGGCAGAGAATTCCCTCCTCCGTGCACCGTCTCTTGGCCCCCACCGCTGTGACAACATGAGCGGCATCCTCGTGCCCCTCCTCCCGATCATTTCGCTTTTGTGGCTGCCGAATGCGTTCAACGGCACCACTCCTCTGCGGCGCATTCGCCGTCAGTGGTAGTCCTACAAAAGCCGTCTTTCCCACAGGGGCATTTGTGACGTTGCGTCCAAACTCCCTTTCTGCGCAGTTGCTCATCAGCGCCGTCACCGCCACGAGAAGCAGAGAGAAAGGATTAAAAGCAAACCAACAGCCCCCGCCCAACGGAGAAATTCGTCACTGTCGGTTGTTGTTTTTTTTTCCCCTTCTTCTTTCCCACCTGCGTTTGCGTTTCTCTTAGCCGCTACGTCACCGCTTGGCTGCAGAAATGAAAAAATAAAAAATAAAAAAAAAAAGGCAAAAGGCAAAAGGCAATAAGCAAAACATTCAACACTTTTGGCAAAGGAAGCGGCGTGCGTGAAGACCCGCGCGGGACAAAAACGCTCGTCAGCGTTTATTTGTGTTTGCGTAAAAAAAAAAAAAAAGGGTGGGGGCAAGATAGAAAAAAAGAGCACAATGAAAGAACGTGTAATCACGCATGCGAGAGTAGTAAAGGCTGAGTGAGTGATGCCAGAGAGCGTATGCATCACGCCGCCTTCTACTCTCACGCACTCGCACAAACACACAATACCGGTTCCCACAATAGCCACGGAGGCAGTGCGCCCGCCCCTCCTCCTCCTTCTCCTCATCCCATCTTCCCTGACATGTTCCCTATTCCGCAATGAATTCATCGCGTGTCGTTCAAAAGAAAGTGCAAGCAAATAAGGGGTAAAAAAAAAAAAACATCAATAATTTTGTTTCCTCAAATAATATGTTCTCACTCGGCGTTTGTTCCTTCACACGTAGTGGCCGCACACATCATCATCACCTCCCACCGCCCCTCAGTTTCCGTCTCGCACCAAACCCATGTGGCAGGTCGCAGCGACATGCACAAAATATGGATATAAACAATCCAATTAATTATTCTACGCAAGAAGCGCGGCCGAAAGATACTCGCGCAGCTCTGCATTCGCCCCCCGCAGCATTAACTGCAGCGCCACGCTCTTGTCCTTTGCGATAAACACTCTTGCTGTGATAAGCACCAAGGAACGTGCGCGGTTTACCATCGTGCCAGACATCTGCAGCGTGTGGGATGCCGTCGTTATTTTCCCCGGCTTGCCTCCCTCAACGTACATCCCAAAGAACTCCACCAATTCCCGCGCTGCCACCGTCAAGTTACGCATTGAACTCAACGAATACGTTCCCGTCGTCTCCTCAAGTTGCATCTTCTCCCACTGCGTCTCAAAAGTACCGCCGAGGTTCACAGGGGCAATGAAGTCACTAACGTTGATGTCAAAGCTCTCCAGTGGGTACTCCTCCTCCTCCTCAACGTCGCCACCCTCCTCCTGCATGGCAAACTTGAAGCGACACTCCAAGGTGCCACTCGGGTACTGTTCCTCCTCATAGCGTAGCACCGCATATCCGTAACTCGTGGAAGCGGGCGCCACCGACTCGATGGGAATAAAGTACTGCGGCTCCACCCCCACTTCGTCCGTATCCAATTCAATCGCAATGTTCTTAAAAGTTACCTTTTCCATCGTGTTCTTCACCTTGAACTGGAGGACTATATTAGAGATGTATGTATGCTTCATCACCGTGACCACATACTCGCTATCAGGATCTGTCAATGGCACCGGCTCGCTGCTGACAATTGGCTCTCCAAGCTCCAACAGTTGTTTGATTTTTCGCATCTTTTCTCTCCCTTGCAGCACAGCATGGCTAACTGCCGATGTTTCTTCTGTACTGCTTTCAGCTTCCTTTGCGATGGCCTTTTGTCGGCCAATGTCTTCCGCTACGGTATTCAGCACGGCAGATCTTGCGGCAATCCGTGCCTGGCGACTCATAGCCACAGTGTTGGCGACATCGCACACCATAGAACGAATGATATTTTCATCATTATTAAGAAAAATTCGTGTGTAAAGAACGGCGCGATCCCGCACCTCATCGTCCGCATCATTGCAAGTACGTTTCAACAGGACGACGATGGACCGACGCAGTGAGGGTACATACGCTGCCAATTTTGCCAGTGTGCTGACTGCCACAGCGCGAATTTCGGGGCCCTCCAGCGTCGCATGATTATAAACATAGCGCACAAACGTCTTTGGGTTTTCTGTCAGTGGCACCTCCTCCCCAAGATACATCAGCACCCGCCGCACAATCTGCGAGTAATTGCAGTCATCAATGAACTCGGCAAGATGTTTCAGAACAGACTCCTTTGAGTCGGGGTTGGACTTGGCAATCTCCATCGTGACATCTACGACATTCTCCTTCAGCTGGCTGCTTCCTTCCTCCGCCAGCAATTTGGAGAGAAACCCGAGGAACACATTGTACTTTGCGGGGAACTTGGCGCTCAGCACACGCATGGCATCAATGATGACCATCTTAAACTCATCGCCCAACTCCCTCAAGTAACCGGCCGTCGAAAGTTGTGTTATGAGCCGCTCAATTGTGTACTCCGTCCCCGTCTTCAGCAGCGTCGTGATTGCGAGGGTGGCGATGATGCGGTTCGGGTCCGTCACGAGGTTCTCAATCTCCGAGTTGATGGGCGAGACCGCAGCTGGATGCAGCGTTGCCACTTCATTTAACACACGGATCGCAGAAAAACGCAGCACGGCGCTCTGTGTGTTGAGGTACAGTTGCACCACCATCACAGCAGGTGACACCTCCTTCGCCGTAATGTTGCGCAGGGAGCAAATAGACTTGACGGACTCAAAAACCACCAAATCATTGTTATTGTGCATCATCGATGTCACAAACTTGTAGATGTCCAGAGATCCCTCAAAGTCCTCCCGCATTAATTCCGTACACATCTTAATCACAAGGCACAGGGCCATTGGTGAACGTATCACGCCACTTTTTGCCTGGTCAATGAGTCGCGTGACGGAGAGGCGATCATTTTTACGCATTTTGTGGAGCAAAGCAATGGCAGCATACTGAGCCTTCCCACAGCTGCGAATCACCTCGGTCAGTTGTGTGCCCCACTTTCTTGCCATTTCTGGATTGACTTGAGCAATGTGAAGCCCTGTAACGAGGGCGGCACAGACAACATTGCTGCTCTGTGACGTCAGGGCCTCCACAATAGTGCGGTCCATGGACGCATAGAGGGAGCTGTTCATTACCTTGAACAGCGTACGAATGCCGTTGCACTTGCTGGCATCATTATTGCTCTTGATGTCAATCATGAGTGAGTTGGAGGCAATGAAGCGCTGCTCCACCAATGGGCTCAATTCCTTCATTAGCACATAGTGAAGTCGGCGAAGTTTCGGGTGGGTGGACTGCAGAAGTTTTGTAGACATGAAGAACAAATCCGTCGCCTCCGTCTCTGTGAGCGTTGTGCCGGTGCACAAGAGATAAAGGCACTGCGTCATGGAGCGCAGACAGGAGGAAATGTCAAGACGCACATCGTTAAACACTCGGCATTGCTGCAGTGCAGAGGTCTTCTCAAGTCCCTCAAACGGAAGTGTTTCCTCCTCATCCTCCTCTTCGTAACGATATCGATCTCGATCCGATGGCATTACCTGCATATTCCTTTTCTTTTCTGTCAATAGCCTCCCCCCACTTCTTCTTATATGTGTTTGTCCGTAGATACTTGTGTATCTTTTTCGGCGTGATCCTCAGCCTTTTTTGTGGCCTTCCTTTTTTTTTTTTCTATGTTATTATTATTGTTGTTGTTGTTTTTAATGATCCCCTTTGATATCTTCCTTCTGCCTTTTTTCTTTGCGCGTGTGTGTTGTGGTGTTAATGTTGTTCCCCTAGGTCCCCTCTATTCCCCCTTTTTTTTTTTCTTTCTTTACTATTATTTGAGTATTTGTTGTTTCCTTCTGGTTCCCTTTATTTGCCGCCAAATGGAGGGTGAAGGAATGAAGGGCAATGAATTAACAAAAGAAGGTTGGGGGATATCGTCTCCCGTCCGCCTTTTTTGGTTCGCCTCAAGTGTGCCCAGGCAAACACACACACACACGTCTACTGTGCATGCGTGCACCTGTGCTGGTATACATGCACAGCAAAACACTGAGCAGACAGACATAAACAAATACGTACGGAAGGACGGAGAGCGTGCGCCCACCTCTCACAACCCGTGTGACACGACATGCTGTACATCTAAAGGGCCTCAACCCCACCCCCTCTTCGCTCCTCCCCAAAGACAAAAACCCAACCACCCCTCCACGTACACAGAAATACATACATATTATCCACATATACATAATGGATGTATATATACTGAAGAAGAAAGGAAGAAGGGGAGATCGTAAATCGCCATCCGTTGCTGCTGGTTACATCACTCCCGCTCCTTTTACGCGCTTCCCCCCTTTTCGCTTCTATCGCCTTCAGTCCTCACTTCCTCCACAAAAAATTCATAGTACACCTCCACGAGCTGCCGCGAACAGTAGCCGCGCCACACACGCTGTATATCCACGGCCGCCTTCCATCGGGGAGTGTCAAAGAGCACGGCAAACATGTTGCGACGCGCCAGGGCACCACGACCACAGCGCTGGACCAGCTGCACAAGCTCGTCTGCCAGCCTCTCGCCATCTTCCTTGGAGTCCTCAGGCCCTGCATCCACTGGGGAAGTTGCAACTCCCTCCGTCGTCACGGATGACGTCGGCGTCGCTGGTTGTGGCCTAAGAAAATCCTCCGAAAGCCGCCCTTTCTGCTGTGTGGTGATGGCGGCGTAATACGATCGCATCGCCGCCTCCCGCTTCCTTTTGTGGTCCTCATCGTCGTTTTCCACCTCGAGGAGACGAGCCGCAACACGCCGCACGTTAAGAATTTTAGCCCGCACCAAAGATTGGATCATTGTCGCATAAGTATACAACGACTCCATATTTATCTTCTGCTGATCGTAGTAAGAACGTGAAAAACGGAGCTGCTGCACATACTCGTAGGCGGCGTAACGGCGCCACGCGCACTGTATTCGCTGTGCACACCAATTCAAAAACGCCGGGGTGGGTCGCAGCCTCACTCCTGCATGCAACAGTTTTTGACGCGCAAGAAACATGCGTACAACAGACTGGATGCGAATCACGGCCATCAGCCGATACTGTCTCTCTTGGAAATGACGATGCGTATCTTCTTCGTGAAGGCGCCGCCAATGGGATTGAAGACGAGCCCTGTGCGCACGCCAGGCCCTTTGGATGCGAGACGAGAGGATATGGCGTTCCCAAAGAAGAAAGCGCAGGTACTCCGCCTGGGAGCGCCTCTCACTATACATGCGCCAAGTGGCTTGAATCTTAGAGGCACTGTAATGAATTATCTGACCCACCATGCGCTTTTCCTCCTCAAGCCTCGCTTCCTCCTTTAGGGCCCGAATCCACCGTCGACCCACATGGCGTCGATAAGTGCGCTGGATAACGCAGGCCTGATGATGCTTCCTCTGAAACTCCGCCCACAAAACGCTTCGTACTCGAGAGGCCAACCAACGGCGAGCAGCACATTGTATACGGAGAACCGCATCCAACACCTCCTCCCGCCGACGCCGCAACATGCGAGATCCCTGCCACTCCTCCCGTAGGCACTTTAGGCGTCGTTGTTCTCGTTTTTTCCATACAATGCGCAGAAAAAAGCGACGAAGAATGTGCATACGTTTCCGTTGCCATGCAATTTCCACACGACAGTGGAAGCCTCGGAGCACAGCCAATATTTTCAGTATGCAGAGCTCCATGTTGGGGAGGTGCTTGATGCGCTCCCACTCTACATTAAATTTTTCCTCTATTTCTTCCAGGTACACCATGACATCGCGTTGTCTGCGCGTCAAAATGGCTTTGCACGCACGAAGCAACAACACATTTCTCCACCACGCTTGAATGGGCCGAGCAGCCATAGTGTGCCTGGCTATCCGCTTCTGCTCCTCCAAGCGGACGTAGACACGTCTCTCCCTCGCCCTGACTCTTCCCCTGTGCCCTCTCAATACACACTGAATCTTCCTAGTCGCTGCCACAACACGACGAAGCCACATCCACACAGTGCACATACGCCAAAATGACTGTAAACGAATGGCAGCAGCGTTTCTCCGACGTGCTTCCAATATTTCAGCAATGGCTCGTTTAATTAAAATGACTTTTTTCCCCCCAGTTTTTTCCACGCTGTTCTTCTGATACAGATAACGCTGAATAAGCGTCACACGCTGCACAACAATTCGATGTGCTCTAAGTTCCTTCTTTTTCCGTATGCACTCTCGAGTAGCACAGTGGTTGCGGAATGCACGCTGAATGATCTCAGCGGCCTCACGCCTGATGGTAGTCTCATGTACCATTGACTGGAGTCGGCGGCATTCACGACGGTCAACGGCTCCTCGCCAGAAACTCTGTATAATAACAATTGCGAGTTTTTTTCTTTCAAACTCTTCATCTGGGAAAACCCTCGACAGAAATCGCAGCTTCCTATCCATGATTTGCATGTAAGTTTTAGGATTCGGTGAAACCACCTTACTCTCAGAGATGATGCTTTCATGAATACTTATCCCTCCCAATGATTCCCGGCCCTCTGTTAGGTTCGTCGTCGCTGTCGCCTCATAACTTACATGATCGCCAAGCTCGCGCATTAACTGACGCAGTTCCTTCCGCAGGTGCTTGTAGCAGTAAACGCTGTCTTGGGTACAAGTGTGATGAGGGCTGGAGACCCCGGTCTTGAACTGGGGCTCATGGAAAATACGGCTTCGTCTCTCGGTGGTGT